CAATTGAGATCACATTTTAAACACTGCAGGTGAATTCTGATCTCCTCATTTCAAAAATGACATTCAGTTATCAATGGAGAAAAGAGAACAGCAACATAATTGATGCCCAAGCATAAATGAATGACAGAAAATTGAGCATCGAGTTAGAATTGTGTTGGAACGATTCTGAAGCTGAGTCATACCAGGCTCAGAATGGTAACTCAGTTTCTCTTTTCACAGGTGCTGCCAGACCTACTGAGTTTTTCCACATTTTCTGCGTTTATTTCAGATTTCTATCATCTGCAGATATTTTCCTTTAATTAGAATTGTGGTTTTTATACATACTCACATGTATGCATATTTCAAATGTTAACAAAGTCTGTTTTTGAAAGTAAAAGTACTATAATTTTCCTATGTATCATTTTCTAATTTTCCATTAATTTTAGGCTGGGATTTACTGCTCAAATTTTGTAGATCATTATGCTACAAACTGGATTCTCTTTATAGTTAGCTCTGCTGCAACTCGTCAGTCTCAGCTGGATCTATGGTCCGTCAATCGTAATAAGTACTGAAACAAAATAAATTAAATAGTAGTACTTTGAGGACCTTAAAGTTTCTTTAATAAAATTAAACCAAATGAATCGTTTGCTGGAAGAAATTCTTTGTATTAGGACGTGATGAGAATTCAAGCACTCTTCTCGCTTGTTAAAGATCTTTCTCTAATTGGTTGCAGAAACAAACATGAAACACACAGTGAGATAGCAAGAACTGCAGATGCTGGAGTCGGAGATAACAAAGTGTGGAGCTGGAGTAACACAGCAGGCCAGGTAGCATCAGAGGAACAGGAAGATTTCTAAAGAAGGGTCCCGACCTGAAATGTCAGCTTTCCTGTTCCTCTGATGCTGCTTGGCCTGCTGTGTTCCTCCAGCTCCGCGCTTTGTTATCTCATGAAACACAGTGTTTATTTTTGCATCCTTCACTTGAGATCCACTTGATTTTGCTGGATTACAGTGTAGGGACAATTTTACTGCAGTCATTCTCTTGTTAATTGCTGATATTAGTATCGTTCCATAGATCTCAAACCACACAGGCAGTTTATCTTTGTGCTGTTAGTTGGCTTTAGAAATGTGTGATGTACAAAGGTACCTGAGTCACCGTCGGTATCAGTAATAATATTAGCAGCCAGCCTGCAGTTAATGTATGTTTGCTCTTTATAATTAGGCAGCACAGAGCCCAGACTGTGTAAATATGAGTTTTTAACAGCAATGTAAGTACTTAAGACAATAAGATAGAGCAGCAGAAGTAGGCCATTCAGCCCATTGAGTCTGCTCTATCTTTCAATGAGGTCATGGATGATTTGACTATACTTAACCTCACTTCCCTGCCTTTTCTCCACAACCTTTGATTTCCTTACTGATTTTAAATCTGCCTGTTTCAGCCTTGAAAGGACTTATAAACCCAGCCTCGATAGCACTCTGTGGTAAAGGACTCCATGGATTCACTGCACTCTCAGAGCAAAAATAATCGTCTCTCATTCTTCCAAATTCCAAAGAATTCAAGCACTAACTACTCGACCATTCCTCATAAGAAATTCTCTCCGAGATCAATTAGTGAACGTTCTTTGGACTACCACTGCAGCCAGTACATTTTTCCTTAGGTAGGAGGACATAAACTGCTCATGGTAATCCAGCTGTGGTCTCACTAATGCCTCGAATAGTTTTAACAAGACTTGCCTATTTTTATATTCTATTTCCTTTGAAATAAAGGCCAACAGTCCATTTGCCTTCCTTATTAATCGTAGAGTCTGAAGGCTAGCTTTTTCAGATTTTTAACAAGCAATAATCCCATTAATTAGCAACAAACTGCTGGGTGACAAACTCAGCTCACTGTTTAGTGAAAGAATAAAAGATGGCATGTGATCCTCCCGACATTGAGATGGTTCTTGCTAGAATTCTCATCTAATCCTGACACAAATCTTTACCATAGCCCACATTGCCCAGACCCCTATATGATACTGCTGCCCTTCTTCTATCAGTTCACCAATTCTCTATCCATGCTCTTACTTTACCCCCAACACCATTGGGCTCTCATTAAGTAGCCTCGTGTGGTACCATATCAAGTGTTTTTAGGAAATCTGACTATATTAGATCTATTGGTTCCTCTTTATCAATCCTACTTCTTACAATCTCAAAGATTTCTAATAAATTTGTTAGATTTGACTACCATTCATGAAGCCATGCTGCCTCTTCTTGACAGTGTTATGTGTTTCTACTGCTATTCTATCCTTTAAGACAGACTCTACATTCTCTTAATGACGGATGTTAAGCCAACTGGCCTATAGTTTCCTGCTTTGCTTTTGTCTCGCTCTCTTTTTGAATGAGTGTTACATTAACAGTTTTCCAATCCTCTGTCACCTTACCAGGGTCTAAAGTTTCTTGCAGGATTATGAACCAGTGTAATATTACTACTTCAGAGATAGTTGGAACTGCAGACGCTGGAGAATCTGAGATAACAAGGTGTAGAGCTGGATGAACACAGCAGCCCAAGCAGCATCAGAGGAGCAGGAAGGCTGACGTTTCGGGCCTAGACTCTTCTTCAGAAATGGGATTTCTACTTCTTCTTTTTAAATCCTAAAACGCAATCCATTAAGGAAAGGGGATTTATCAGCCTTTAGCCCATTAAATTTCCAAGTACTTCTTCTCTAATGATAATAATTTTGTATCTTGCTCGCACACCCCACTTCAAATTAGCACTTTAGTTTTTGTTTAATCTTTGGAATGCCAGTAATGTCTTCCAATGTAAAGATGTGACAGATGCAAAGTATTTATCAAACTCCTCTACTATTTCCCCAGTCTCATTATTTTTATCTTTCTGATATATTTTAGGAAGCTCTTATTGTAGATTTTGTTGTTAAAACTCTCACAATCCTTTGGTTTGCTATTAATCTTGTATTTTTCTTTTTCTTTCAATTTGAGGTTATCCTTAACTTTCTTCCTTAACCATTGTTGGTTTATCCCATTCCCAGAAACCTTCTTTCTCAATGGAATATATCTTTGCTGCAAGTCAGGAATTATTTTACTAATGTCTGCCATTGTTATGCCACAGCCTATTTTGCCAAACTCCTTCTCTAGTCCATGCCAGCCATTTCTGCCCTCATCCATATCTCATTTTCCTTATTTAAGTTTAGCTCAATTATTTCTGTCCCAATTTACAGACTCTCAAACTAAATGTTAGTTCTGCTGTGTTATGGTCTCTATTCCCTCGACATCACCAGATCGAAATTAGCCTGGTCCTTGGTTGAATACATAATATGTTGTTCCATGAAACTGCTCCAAAGCATTCTTTCAATTCTTCCTGTTGTCCACTTCTGCCAACATGATTTCCCAATCTTCAGGAAGATTCAAATCCCCAATGATTAATGCACTTTTTCATATATCCGAAGTATTGTTTGATTTATTGTCTGCCTGACAAAATAGCCAGTTTTGAGGGGATGGGGGGTGGGCTATGGTCTATTTTCTTTCCCTTGTTATTCTCCACCTTCACGATGGGGGTGGGCTATGGTCTATTTTCTTTCCCTTGTT